GTTCCATGGTGAGGGGCTGTGTATTTAATCTGAGTTTCCCCCCTGTGTCAGCAGGGATGTGGCTCAGGCTCCTCGCAGGGCAGTCTGGATGGAAGGAGCTCTGGAACACCCAGCAATGCTGTGGTTTGCTGTCAGTGAGTTCCTTGTCTGAGGAAATGTTTTAAATTCTTCGCTGTGGTGTCGGTGGTGGCATAAAAGGTTCGAAATAATTAATGATTTGCCGTGGCTCGATGCATCAAGCATTTTCCTGAAAAGACAGTGGTATTTTGTTTCAAACCCCAGTAGAATGACAGGAACGTGGAGATGTGAGAAAATAAATACATGGTTTCTTAGATGCAGAAATAAGAACTTTCCTGCCTGAGATTGGGAGGAAATGAAAGCTCGTGGCTGCACTCTGGGACAAACCCCTGCTTCCCACTTGGAGCACGAAGTTCTTTAGGAGCCCTGCAGGATCATTAATATCAGGCAGCAGCACAGAGGGGCACTGGGGGTTTGTGCCAGTGAAGGTTATTTGTTCATTATCTTTTTATCTTCGCAGAGTTTCCAATTGCTTTTCCAGGGAAGTAGGTTAGGAGCCCACAGCTTCCACAGGGCTCGGAGCCCCGGGCACGGGTGATGCTTTTGGGGGGACAGGGGGACAGGGCCACTCCTGGGACAACACAAACCAGGGGCTCTGTGCCCCTGCTGCTGTCTGTCTGTCTGTCTGTCTGTCCCAGAGCCCTCCCTTCCCTCCACAGCTGGAGCCCGAGTGTGGGGGCAGGAACTGGGGCCAAATCCGTTGTCAGAAATGAGGTGTGGGGTGGGATGGGGGTAACAGGATGAGGGTGACAGGGTGAGGGTCCCGGGATGAGGATCCGGGGATGAGGATCCCGGACTGAGGGTCCCAGAGCTGAGGATCCCAGGCTGGGGGTCCCGGGCTGGGGGTCACAGATTGAGGGTCCCAGGCTGGGGGTCACAGATTGAGGGTCCCAGGCTGGGGGTCAGCACCCCGGGTCGGGCTCTCTGAGCACCCCCCGGTCCCGCAGAGCCCCCGAGCAGCCCCGGGCCGGGCTCAGCGGGCACTGGGAGCTCCCCGGGTCCCAGCGAGGCTGAAAGCGTCACCACGGCTTTGCTGTTGGCTGCCCAAAGTCATGTTTTTATTCATAGCCCTGGAAATGTGTTTGCAGCAGAAAGCCACGGCTGTGGCTCAGCTGTGTCTGGGAGTTGTGCTGGCAGGGCAGCTCCTTCGCCCCTGGCTCCAGCATTTGCATACATTTGGTTTTTGTAGGCTCGGGAGGAAACTGCCTGAAATGCACAATGAGTTTGAAGGGGAAACAGCAGTCAAAGCACAGCATTTCATCTCCTTTTCCTCTCCAGTTGATGTCCAAAAGATACAGAGGCAGCTGAGGAAAGCATCCACTAAATGTCCACTGCAAATATTCAGGGGACAGCGTTCACTCCCATTTCAGCGGGATCAAAACCCCAAGTTGTTCTGCAAACCCGTGGAAAATATTTCTCTTGTTCTTTCTCCGCCAGGCGAAATGTCTGTTTTCAGTTCACTTTTCATACCTGTTTTACAACGTTACCTGCTGTGAACCCGCCGGCTATTCCCCTCTCAGGAGCCAATTTCCTGACAGAACTACTTTGCTTATCACTTTCCTGTGGAAGATGCTGAAGGCAAATATAGACACAGAGGCAGATTTAGATGTCGGTGTCCGCGGGCTCGTGCTCACACACGGAGATGCCAGC